CTTGTCCTTACAATTGGGGCACTCGAAGTGTCGGTACCCTTGCTTCCCACAGCCGAAACAACTGCCAGGGAAGTTTCCTTTTCTGATGGCCGCATTGATGATGGCCGAAGCTCCATGTGACTGGGGTGCACCACCGCGTGCCCCTCCGCGTCCTCGACCTCAAGCCGAGAAAAAGTTGTTTAACTCGGGCCGCCGGGCCCGGCTGATGTCGAGGATCTGCTCGACCTCAGTGGCACGCTTGTCAGCTTCTTGCCACGTGGCGAAGGTCTCGAGCTCGATCTTGCGGTAGACGCGTGAGGGGATGCTGCTCAGGTATTTGTCGCGGAGTTCCAGGTCCCCATACCCAGAACGGTCTGCCGGACCCTTGAACAGCGCAGAGAATTCTGTGGCGGTGCGTTTCTCACGGACAGATTTGTTAGCGCAGAGCTTGGTGAGCTCCACTTGTGCGGCGGCGGCATCGTCAAGATTGCCGAAGGGGGCCTTGAACGCCGTAAGGAAGGCTGCTTCGTTCGCGAAGGGGGTCGTTGCTCCCTGGACCCCAACCTGGACAGCGGCAAGCTGGGAGAAGATGGGGGTGGCCCAGGTTCGCGCATCACCATCGAGGAGACTGAGGGCGACTTGAACTTTTAGCTTGATGGTTGAGAGTGCCGTGTTGACTGCCCAGTAGATGAGCAATTGCGAGATGAACCGGTTGCATTCGACCACCGATTTCCCGTTGTAGCGGAGCGGGAGGAGGAGCTTCAAGGTCTCCTTGTCGGGGGCGGTCGAGGAAGAGGACATTATCGGCGGCGGGGGGGACGGAGGACAGCGCGGGGGCGGAGGCGGCTGTGGTGGCCCTCCGCTGGTCGGACTTTGAGGGGAGCGAGTGCGCGAGCGGCCTCGCGGCGGCGACGGCGGTGAAGGTGCTGGAGGAAGCCCGGAAGAGGGGTCACGTACGTCAGGGACTGCTGACGCGGGGGCAAGTGCTCTCGGCGAGGCGGGCCGAGCAGAATCCGCGGACTCGGACTCCGAAACTCCTTCTTCACTCGCACTATCTTCAGGCTCAGGCTCTGGCGCAGGGTCTGGAGGGAGATCTCCTCACGCTTGACTTGGACTGGCAACCGGTCGGGAAAGACGGGAGCTGGGGGAGACAGGGCGAGAATGCTACGAGGCGGATTGAGATGCAAGGGTGCTGCGGGGACCGAGCGGATGTTGGGCCCTTCTGATTGCCTTGTAGTATGGGTAATCTTGTTCGATCGACCGGGGTGTCCGATTGGGGCACGGCTGCTGCTCGCAGGTGAGGATGATAGTCTCAGGGCCATCTGGGATGTAGACGTCGACGAGGTCCTGAGCATCGAAAGCGTGAACTTGGCCTTGACAGGCAGCCACGATGGATGGGGGGAGGACGGGAAGGTGCACGTACTACAAAGGCCGTGCTATACTAGCTTACACCTACGGCGCCCGAAGTAACGCTAGGGTTCGCGATTCACATGGGGCCCAGTACTGCTTTTGGCTAGTATGCAGCAGGAACCTAGTCCACGCGTCCGTAAGAACAAGCACTGCCCACTGAAGTGCAGGTGCTGAAAGGTTCGTTCCCTGAGCGGTGGCGATGTATATACGCTATCTACGTATCGTAGTGTATAGTAGGGGTGCGCACCACCTGAAACATTTGTCTTTCCGTTCTATTCCTTGTACTACTAGCGCCCATACTGGCGCCTGTCTTAGCGCTCACCCGCAGGTTGAACATTATGTAGCTTACATAATGGGGTCCGTGCGCACTTCGTGCCTGGTATCGTACCACTACGTTTCTTTCTTCACTAACACGACCACATAGACACGATGGTCCGTGCGCAGTCGGTACTTGTATAAGTAGTTGTACCATTAGTCGGTCGAACCCTAAGTTCGACCTGGTTATTCATTCAAGTCTCTGCTCCTCCTCGCTTGGGGTAGTGGTCATTCTCGACTTCCTCGCTCGATCTTCAGGACGACGCACTGTCCATAAGTCCTCGCTCGTTGTCTACGAGTCGAGGCAT